TGATCACAGAGTAGTCTCTGACAACACTTGCTCTTCAGCTTAGTAACCATGCCCTACGGTCAGACACGACTTGACAACCTTGTTAACAGGGAATATCTTTACCTTTTACATATATATACACATATTTCTATGCTGCCTCTTAAGGCAAAGCCAGGTGAAAGTTGTGGTGGTTATGTGTCTCATTACTATACAGTGGTGGATTTTCCTTCTCTGGAGGTCTTTAAAGAGAGGCGGGTGGCCATCTCAGGTAAGCTTTAAATGTATGTTTTTGCATGGCAGAGGATTGAACTGGATGGCCTTTCTGGTCTCTTCCAGCTCTATAACTTTGTGATTCTCAAATATAAATAACATCAAAATGCACTGGGACCTTCGAATTCACTTGGTTTGGTTCCAGGACCCCCCTGTGGATACCAAAATCTATGGATGCTTAAGACCCATTAAATAAAATGGCATCGTAAAATGGTGCCCCTTATATAAAATGGCAAAATCAATATGTGCTTTTTGGAATGTTTCAAAAAATATTTTCAAGACATGGATGGTTGAATCCATGGATGCAGAATCCGCAGATATGGCAGGCCAACTGTACTGCATTAAATTGTGTGCCGAAAGAAAAGAGAGGGAAACTCAGTAATTTGTGTGCATTCTGTATAGTATGGATAGCTGGTTACACTGTTATCCTGGACCTTCTACTGATTTTTCCAGCAGGTATGTGGAACTTGTGTTAACCTGGGCTTAGTGGAGAGGAAAGTTCCCATTGGGACCATTTCAATGTATTTGAAATGCTCACTATAATTGCTAGTCATATCTTTACCATTGTGGGTCTGTTTTTTAATCTCAGTAGACAACATTTTTGCACCTGGAATGTGGGCAGTTGGGAGCTTGTGAATCTGGACAAGATCTAAAGCTCTAAGCTTTACAGTTTTGCTGAATGACAATTATGGTTCAGCACCAGCAGTGATAAGGCTAATGAACAGGTGCTGAGATACTCCATTCCTGTGCTATGAAGTGCCAGAAAAGGAGAAGGGGAGGCCAAATGATGGAGTTATCTACTTCAAACGCCACCAGATGAAAAGAAAAAGTCAGTCCCCCTAAAATAGCCGTAATTAGGGCTGAGAAAAAAACCTGGGAGGGGAACACTCTGCAGTTGTCACCCAACCATTCTTCTTCATTGCCTTGAGCTCTGTCAACTCTTTGGCTGTGAGAGTCTAAGGCTGAGGAGAAGCCCAAACAAGAGCTGCGGAAAGCTGTTTGCAGCTCAGGATGGGGTGGCGGAAAGGGCTGCTAGGTAACAGTAGCCAATTCTTGTGGCCAGTGGCCACAGTGGGCAAATGGCAGAGGTGGCTGCAGCGGGTGAAGTGGGGAGGCTGGAAGGTGTGCCAGATAGCTTGGACAGGACAGTGAGGCAGTCAGAACTGGGAGGGCATAAGGTGAGCACCCCTCACTCCCTGGTGCCACTTCTCCTTCCCTTCAGCTGTCTCCCTATGTTGCCTCCCCTGGAGTGACTGCCTACCTAGTGGTGATATCATGAGTTTACACACTGGGGTGGCATCAATCCCTAGTGATGCCACTGCAGACAGAGGATGCACCAGTTTGCTTTTGTCTGACCTACTGGGAAGGACAACATTCCACCTCGCTCTTCTCCTCCTTCATAGCATGAGAATTATTTGAGTATAAACTGCTTTTGCACTTTGAACTCAGTTTGTACCAACTAAAGTAAGCCAAAGATGAAGGGGAAAGCAGAAGACGGAAAGAAACTGGGACATTTTAAGAAAAGCTGAAAGAGTGAGATGACAGAGAATTAATCGGGACTGTCCCTGCCAAACTGAGATATTTGGAGGGTATTTCATGGAGGGTCTCAATGACGCCCCCTGCCCCCCTCTCTTGCTGAAGCCACAGTCCCTGAACTGGAGGGGATTTTTCCATGCAGTGCTAGCCTTCAGAGTTAGAAAAGCAAGTAGCAGGAGCGGGGAAATCTGGCTGTAATCGGCAGCTACTGATTGGAACCATCATGGGGATTTCTCCACACAGACGGCCAAAGGCCTTTGTCATGACTCACTAGATTAGATTGTTCTCACTGAACATTGCACCAGGACTTTCCTTCAAGTGGCAGCATTTTGTCAAGCTTTCACAAAGCCCTTCAAACAACAGTGCTTAATCCAAAACCATGAAGATATGAGGAGCAATATTTACACACTAAGCCGTTGGGACGATAAAGACAGTGCCTGTGTGTCTGTGATGCTTGGTCTAGTCAGATAGGTTCTTGGCAGAATGAAGGTGAGTATGTTTTTAGTTGCAAGAGAGGGTAAGGGAATTCAGGAAGGGCTGGCTGCTGGATACACATTCTTATTTCTTTTTTGTGATTTCATTAACACAATTATTATGCTTTCCTGAATCAGAAGTTGACAACAGCTT